CCAGAAGAGCGCAATGATGGTGCCAACTTGGGCCAGTGAAGCAACATCCTCCACAACTAGACTGAAGAACAAAAGGACAGCAACCTGTCTGTTCCCCTTCCCCCAATTCCCCAGCACTGTTCCCATCCCCCCAATTCCCCAATAAAATCTTTAAAAAAAAATCTTATAGTCCAGAACATGAACTGAAAAATCAATGCTCATTGTAATTTTTTTGTACTTTTTAATCTTTAAAAAGTACATATTTTCTAGCTCTGTCTACTGAAAAAGCCTAGAAACAATGACCACTCAGTAGGACTGACCATGCCTAGCTCTCAAAATACAGTAAGTAAAGGAGACCACAGCTCCTTGAAGAAATGGCTGATTCCAGGTCAGGGGCAAAAAATGTTTAAGAAATAGCCTCGAATATATTGTTATAGCAGAAAGTAAAGAAGTTTAAAAAATATATTAGGGTCTTAAAGAAGTTACCTCTAGCTAAACACGGAATAACTTGATCATCAACGAGAGTAAAAACAGTAATAGATTGAAATGTCAAATATGTTCAAACCATAAGCTCACAATACTTTTAGTTTAAAACAAAACAAACAAACAAAAAAAACTTCACAGGTTGCTATGGAGAATCCTAGGGAATCAACTCATTACTTTGGAAACTGATTTAAAAAATGAAATAATAAGCATGTACCCTGCCTTTTCTCTATGAATTCAGAGTAACCAATAGTTGGGGGGAGGGGAGGCTCTCTTTACAAAAATATCCTGGGCTAATAAGTGAAAAGAAAATGATAAAATCACACTATCTCATTTTGTAGCTTCTAATGAATTAATGGACACAGACAATGATCATAAAGATGGGGAAATATATTAAATACTGCCATGCTGATATGATCGGTATGTGGGCAATTCTACAGGAAAAAAGATCATAGTATTTTCAACAACAATAAAAAAGTAGGGAAAAAAAAGAGACTAAAATAATCTCTAAAATAAAAGGCATATAAAACAACAGACACATAAAGACATATGTAAGAGTCATATAAAACAGTAACAAATATATATTCATATACAATATATACACACATATACATAAACACATTATACACTAGTAACCATTAGAAAATAAAACTTAAAAATCATTCACAATAGCACCAAAATATTAATTATCTAAGGATAAATCTAATAAAGATGTGCAATATTACTACACTGAAACCTCAAGACATTATTTAGAAAAAAAAAAAAAGACCTAGGGGCCAGCTAAGTGGCTCAGTTGGTTAAAAGTTTGCTTGAGAGCATGAGCTCTGAGCAACAGGGCTGCCAGTTTGATTCCCACATGGGCCAGTGATGCTGCACCCGAGCTGAGCTGCCGCTGAGCTGCCAAAAGATGGCAGGATGGCTCAGCTGCTGAGAGCACGTGCTCCTAACAAGAAGACTTCCTGTTTGATGGTGGGCTACGCCTGCCCGCAACTAAGACTGTACTCAGCAACTTGAGCTGAGCTACTGTCTGGATGGCTCAGTGGACAGAACATGCGCTCTTAACAACAAGGCTGCCGGGTTCAACTCCCGCATGGGACGGTGGCTACGCCCACCCACAACTAAGATTGAACACAGCACCTTGAGCTTAGAGGCCACATGCCGATGGGCAGCCAGATNGAACCAGGGCCCTCTGGCGTCCCAAGCCAGCTCTTAACCTTTGCGCCACTCGCCCGGCCCTGGATGAACATCTTTGTACATGTATCTTTGCAAGCAAGTCCAAATCTATTCTTGGGATAAACTGCTAGAGATGAAGCATTGCTGAGTCAAATGACATGCACATCTGTGTGTCCGTGGTGTGTGTGTGGTGGTGGGGAGAGGGAGGGGGAAAGAGGGATCAGGAACTCAATTTATCTGGAATGTTAACCTGCTGAAATTTTTTCCCCATCTACTTGGTGCCTACTCAAATTCTACAGCAAATTGCTTGTTTACCCCCACTTAATAGGGTACTTAAAGCTACAAGAAAACAATTAAGATGGTCAACTCACTTGTGCAGAATCCCCCACTAGCACTCAACCCACACACCTAGCTCAAAGAGCACATCTAACAGCACATGGTGAAGACTCTGTCATCTCTACACTCTGCACCAGAACAGTGTTAGCTCTCCCACAGCTCTGCACAGATACCATTCTAGGCTCCCGCCCCACTATATTATAATTTGGCTTGCCTATCAGTGTCCCCTGTAGAATGCTATTTTCTGTCTCAGCTCTCATCATGAAACCTTACATATAGCAGGCATTCAACACACATGAATCAGTGAAGGAATGAAATGACACAGACTTGGCCTTTCAGGAAAAGACACTTCTCAGTCAAGTGCTGATTATTATGGCTTTTCCCTTTCCTTGCTTGCAATGTAACACTGTGCCGTTTGAGAAATGCAAGAAGCTGAAACTAGGGCCTACTGTTGCTACATGCGCTTCTTGTTCTTGACTAACATTAGGTTTCTCACGGCCATGGCTATTGCTGATTCATGGTACCCTAGTCTAGCTCTTACAACAGTACTTCAAACGGCATCTTACCATTTAAGTGACAGAGCAGCCCAATGTAAACATTTGTCCCTCTCTGAAGCACCGTCTTTGTAAACGTTACGGCACCTGGGTATGTTAGTCGCTCAGTAATGATCTGAACAATAAGCAGGTGTCCTGTGACATGCTGCACCTTACCTGGTGTCACAATGCTTTCTCTAACAAGGCTCACTTGTTTCATTCACTTGGATTATTTTTAACTCAACATACTTCATGTGATCTTATGTTAACGTACCTCATCTTAATCCGTTCTGGTCCACACGTTTCTACATAAAAGTTAGTCATTTGGGGGATCTGGAAATGTTCTCAAAGAGTACAAGAATCATAAGAATCATTACTTCAAAACTGAGAGAAGGAAGAGACTCCTGGCTCATATTAGGAACCAATAAATAGTGACCAAAACCAGGGGAGGGAGGGTATTATGTAAAGGATGAGTATAAAGGTAAGCACTAGAACCAAAATACAAACCTTTCTAAATACCAGATGGTATACAAAAGAGGAAGTGGGGGTAAGTGAAATAGACCACATAGTGAAAACCTCACTTACTTAAAAGAAGGGAGGATATAAATATACATTTGTATTTATAGCCTACATACATAAATACACATATTTCCTAATATTGAAAAAAAAAAAGCAACGGCAGGATAACCCATACATTTTTTTAAAAAACGGATACCTACAAGGTGAGTGACAGAACAGGGGAAAAAAAACCAACAACAATGATAGAAACAAAGCTTCTTTATAAATACTTGGTTTTGTAGAGATGATGTTGGAACCATAATAACAATAACAAATTAAATTTTAATAATGCAATCCCTAAAAATAAAAAGTAAAATAAATTAAATGTACCTAAATGCAAATCCAACTGGTAAAAGAACAACACAGAGAACTAGCTATTCCAAAACTTTTAAAACACAGTAATCTAACAGCACATCCCTATTATAAAATATTCTTAAAAACAGGTCTCGAAAGATGGCAAATATTTTAAAAATTTGTCATCAGTAATCACAGTCTTACCAGTCAAGTTGGAATTATTGTTCTATAAGGCTGCTGGATATGTAGTTTGTGATAAAGCAATGTGTAGGTATGTTGGTATTTGTTGAGACCCAGGATTTTGTGCATAAGGAAAAACAATGCGGTTCATTAAAAATCTTATAGTCCAGGGCCGGCCGAGTGGCGTGATGGTTAAGAACTGGCTTGGGACGCCAGAGGGCCCCGGTTCGGATCCCACATATGAGGGCCAGTGACACTGCCCNTCTCTGTTGAAAACCTGTTCCTTTCACCCAGTGGGACTTAGTTTTCTGAGATGCATGGGCTACAGAGGCAGAGCCAGTCCATGAGGTTCTTGGAAGGACCTAATGAACTCACTGTATGTAGCTCTCCATTCCCTACCACATTCAGCCAGCCCCACCTGGGCATTCTAGGCCTCCGCAGTATGACTCTAATCTACTTTTCCATTCTAGCCAAACTGAACCACAGCCACCTTTGCCCAAGTCTCCCCACCATACACTTTCCCAACCAAATCTCTCAACCCTGCCACAGCCGACCTCCCTACCCACCTCTTCCACCAGCCAAGCCTCTGGTTGTGTCTTACTCATGTTACAATCCATGCCCACCCAGTACCACTTTCTTTAAGGTAGGAAATTATATTTTCTTGTAAACAGTAGGCCTCAAAAATTTTGTTGTATTATCTGGAAATCGGAGGAAATAAATAGCTTGAGTGAAAATCCACGTCACTGCAAGCTGGTCTGGTGCCTGATGTGGGAGCTGCCAGGCTGTGTGCACCACACCCATTTGCTGCTTTCTTTCTAAATCTAGACTCTAAATGCTTTTACCATTTTACTTCTCTGGGTCTCTAAATTTTTGTTGTTGTTGCTGTTATATAATTCTATGATGAGTTTTAAAAAAATTATGTGTTTGAAAGTAGTTTATGTGATGTGTTTCAGAAAAATAAAAAGCATACAATTTTCTACATCGCCCAATTTACTTTAAAACCTAACTGCAACCTATTCCCTCAATTCCTAAATAAATTACATTTGAAAATGCAATAGTAACTGACAAATTTTAGCTCTGCTAATTTAACTTGTCTTCCAGTCCACATTTATTCGATAATTTTAGAGCAAACCTTTATTATCCAAAGCCTGACTTTTTAAAACTCTAATGCGGTTTTAACTTTCAGAAAGTTCTTTCAATTACACTTTTTTTAAAAATGGATTTTGGTTGGGAAAAAAATAGAATACAAGGGATAAGCACTTCATTTTTAAAACTGAGAAAGAAAAGGATATCTTACAGGTGATGGTTAATAGCAAAAACTTTACTCAAGTTTTAAGCTCTAAAAGATTTTTCACAATAGTATATCGCTATAGCTAGTAGCTACTAAAATAATACGTTATATATTTGTTTCCTTCACTCCAATACTTTTCCCCACATCAACTTACCAAAAAACTGACAAAGCTGGCTCCAAAACTCATTAATGGGCTGTGATTTCTGTTAAGGAAACAAAATAAAATTATTTTTATTGTAAACTTTTATTTAAAAACATTTGATATATCAGGA